CTCAAAAAATATCTAAACTCCTCCAAAAATTATGAAAAACTTGCCTATCACAACTAGAGTTGCTCTCTAACTTTTGAAATTGATTTAAAGATTTTTGAATAGCTAATTTGGGATATATAGTAAATTGAACTCAATTTAGCATTATTTGAAACTTCTTGGCCCAACCATAGGCCGGCCCATAATACACTCCTAACTTGCAATCCCGCCTCCCAACCATAGGCCGGCCCAACCATAGGCCGGCCCATATTGATCATAGATTATTTATTTAATATTTGAATACCTTAACAGCCTCAAAATTAAATAATTTGGGGCTTATTGGATTTGCCTTGTTGATGGTATAGTATATTGAGAATGCTTCCCACTAATGGCTAAATGTTAGAAAACTAAGATATTAGAGTATTTAATATCTTAGCTTGTCTAATGAATTAGCACGCACATAAATAGAAGTTATAAGCGACACTATATTTTTTAATGTGATAGATATATATATATATAAATGCTCTTCTCAAAAATTGAAGAAGACGGGATTGTATAATTGAGCAGAAATATCTTACTCCCATTATAGAAATTATAAAAGTTTGGAGTTCATAAGAAAATAGTTTAAGTCTAATAAAATGATTACATGTTAGTAGTTAGGGTACAATGATCAAATGATGGAAGTTAAGTAATTGTGATGGTGATTGTTAGCTTTGATAGCCAAAGAATTTAATAAATTTCTTCACATTTCTCAATTCCTGAGCTCCCTTTTATGTAAAAAATGAATTCTTATTAATATCTTTTTTTAGAGTCGTATTTGATAAATTTGATCAAAATCTAAATCACTTAATCAAACAGTTCATATTGATCATGTTGATTATATATCATTTATTTAGAATTTAAGAATATTAATGATGTTAGAATTGAATGACTTTGAATTCATTGGATCTGTGACATCAAGCCGTTAGATTTGACTATAATTCAGGTCTCAGGATTTGGAGACATTTTGGCCATTCAATGAATGTCCTAAACTTTTAAAAATGCACCAAACCAAAGTGTTATACTAAGAAAATATTTTAAAAAAGTAGTAAGAAAATGTTCAAAGGAAGCGAGGGCTTCGTTTGAGACGGCTTTTTATTGCATTTTAAAATAATATTTTAGTAAAAAAAATTTAAAAAAATTGTACAAAACAATTATTTAAAAATCAATAAGCAAACTAACACAAATGAAACCTAAAAAAATAATAGTTAGAACAACAGGGAATACGTTGTGAACTAAAATTAATTAAGGTTTTGTATGAAACTACATTCTTAACACTTCTTAAAGTAATATTTTAATATAAAAAATAAAATTATTATAATAAAAAATTTACTTTAAGAAACGAGAACAAAGCCATCCCAAAACAGAGAAATTATTTCTTACAGAATCTGGAGGGTGAGTGTGCACAGTTTTTATACACACTATATATAAAAAAATCAAACTATTTATAAAATTATACTCAGTGTATATATTATATACACTCAGATTTCTAACGATTCTTTATCGTCCGGACTCCACACCAAATACCATCTCCCCAAACAGAAGCCTTAAGATCCTTCAAGATACGTGACCTGAAGAGGAGCGGGACCCGCACTGCAATCACGAGACGCAAAAGAAAGAAAGAGCTCGCCGGTATCCACGCCCTAAATGGATCGCTCGTTTCAGATATTTTGCAAATATTGAGCGACTGCGTCGTTCATAGACGATGGGACCACCGCTGTCTCACGTCGCATAGGGCATAAAATAGACAAGCCGGCGCTAATACGCCAGCTCGTGAGCACCGGCACCGGCTCCGTCACCGACACCGACACCACCCCAAAATCTTGATTTTTTGCCTTTTTGGTAGATTACACATTTACACATATGGAATATATCTAAATAATATGATGGACGATTCTGTTTTTTATGATTGAATTTATATTTATATTTCATGTTCTAGATAAAAATTGGATCAGTATACTCACACTAATTTATGTTAATTGATTTGTTCTAAAAAATTATTTGATCAACTGTGGATTTTGAATTAAATATTTTTAGATATCAATTTGGAACTGTTTGTGATATGTCACCAAAAATCATCTTGATTGGGAACAAATCTTGATGCAAACACAAGTTCAAAACTTTGAAATAAAAATTCGAGATCATTCAAACATCTATTTTAGCAAGTTTATAGTCAAATTGATAATCGCAAGGAGATGAACTCAATGCCCCCAAAATCAGTCCAATATGAGACCAAATGAGTCAAAATCAAAGGATCAAAGCCAACTTGAAAGGCCAATTAACATTCAAATATGAAATGCTTATAATCGAATATAGCGGCTCGACGAGACCAACTAACATGTTTTAAAATGCTCTATATATTGTATATTTGTTATATTTAGCCGGCACTCTCTAAAGCATTATCTGTAATCAATCATCAATACTAGTGGATTCATTCAAATTGGGCTAAGCCTTGTGGGTTTTCCCCTTTTCAAGGCTTTCCACGTAAAAAATTTGATGTTTCTTATGAATGTTATACTCCTATATGTTATTTATTTGTTTGTTGGATCTTCGTATAAAACTATGATGTTAAACTTTACATCTCTTTGCTGTCGCAAATATTTTAGGACGCAACAATATGAATTTTATTTTTCATGAATTTTTAATGAGACAAGTCTAACAAGTTCAAGAACACTGAATATTGATATTATTAAGTTATTCAATTGATTAGAATAACATCAAGATTATGATGGATCATTCTAACTAGTTTAATCGAGTATTCAAAATTTTGGCAAAACAATAAAAATGTCAAAAAAAAAATTATAACTAAGCTTATTTTCATACATAAAGGCACCTGGAGTTGGAGAGGGGCTATAAATCTGAAGAATTATAAAGCTCTGCCCAACAATTGACCTCACAATCACAGTAATAGATAATACTTATCTTATTGTTGTTGTCCAATTATCTTTATCTAATTGTAATGCCTCTATCATTGCCTCCCAATTGTCATCATTATTATTATACGCCAAATCATCAATAGATACTTTGGGAAGCATGCCCTCTCTAATTGTTGGGAAGGACTCACTTTTTAATCTTCACTTTATTGTAGATTATTTTAATTTGATTGGCTATTTTAATTTTTCTCTCCACAATCACAAATTTCTAGCATACAATATTTATAATGCATTTTAGAATATGCTTAAATTATTATATATTTGTAGTGGTTTACACTACAAACATATAATAATTTAAAGAAAAATCCATTGGCTCATCCTCTTGTATAAAATATCTTGTTGATTTAGTTTAGAACTAGTCAGCATTTCTTGCATAATAATCTAATGCAATATCTTATATTCAATGTATAATATATCATATGTGTATCTTATACACTTTAACATATATATCATTTCAATAGTATGCTATTATTATGCCTACTAGTGTACTTTTTAAAGTGCACATACTATTTCAAGTTAACAGTATCATATGCATGTCAAGTTAGGCTTGATGAGATAGATGCATTGATCCTAATGTACTTATATGTACATCTTTATTCTTTCCATATTAGTTAAATTATTATATATATAATTCTACCCGGTGAAAATACAAGTTAAGCGTTGCAAAATGTGCAAATTAATCATATATATCATATATCAAAATTTACTTCGTTAAAATTATTTAAATTGCAAATATCGAATTCTAATATAATTTAGAGAGAAAGATTGAAACTCATAATCTTTGAAAATAAGAATATGATTCATTATACCTTCCACGATCATAGTAACTTTCATAATTAGGAGGATGGAAAGAAACGACTTCGGGGCAACTTGTTCTCTCTTCTCGTTCCTCTCCTCTCCCCATTCTATCCTCTCTTCTCTTCCTCTTCTTCCGGCAAAAAAGCTTAATGGGGGATAGGGGAGGTATGGCTTAGGTATTAAATAAGGTAGTGGTTTAGGTTATTAAAAAAAAATCACAACTAACACCTCAATGCCCGAGTCAACATCGATGCACCGCTCTCCTTTTTACTATAGAACAGAGGAGACAATGTAGTAGTGCCAACCCCTAATAACGCTGCACTCACATAACTAGAGCTCAGAGTATGACGAGGCCAACATAGCTTTGCTCATAAACACAACATAGGTTTTTTATACATGTAGGGATTTCATAAGGATCATTAACAGGTCAATAATAAATATTAAATCATGTAAAAATTAGGTTCCTACATTCTACCCACCTTTGCAAGTATTATAAAAGAAATTTCTAAAATATCTTAAAAGCAATGCATTTGATAGCAATAAATAAATATCTTCTTAATTTCTCCACTTCAACCAACATAGTTGAAGCCGTTGGCACCCTCGTGGCCCAACACCACCACAAATTCCCACGCACTCGCCCGCCCCGCAACTGCACTGAGAACCCCAAACCGTTCCAGGCTCTTTTTTTTTTTTTTTGGAAAGCTATGCTGATGGCCGTTAATATAAATTGCGAGGAACAATCTTCTTTAGTTAATTTTCATAAATTTTTTTCGTTTTTGGAAATTTTATTTGCAAAACTAAAATTTATTTTGCTTTTAAATTGCCATTAATTTAAGTGAAACCATTTCTAAAAATTTTGCTTCTCTTTGAATTTAGGTTTAATTTGAACCAACTTTATTACCGTTATATAAAACAATTTTTTATTACAATTTTTTTTAACTAAAAATATATGAACCTTATACGTACTGAGAAAATATTAATAACAATAACATATTAAAAATATAATTAAATATCATACTCCGTACCTGATTAAGAAAAATCCATATATTTAAAAATGCATATACTAATAATATTTCCAACAACTGCCATAAATAATGTACATACTATTACTACTGCGTCGTTCAATGTATTAGTAAAATACAGTCACAATTTAGTACTAATTATTGTCAGTAGGTTAAGCAATTTTTTGTCAGTAGAAATGAATATCAGAAGAATTCTTAATAACGAGTTCACTATGGAAGTCATCTTGATCAGTTGGTTAAGTATTTTTTACTATTAATTAAGAAACTTTGAGCTTAAAATGAGCTAAACAATACTAATCTTCTTAAATGCCATTAAGGCACTTCATTAATTACCCCAACAACCAACCCCTATCAGACGTCCCCACTTCCCCACCTTCTTTCCATTTATGGGACAATAAATACCACTAATTAATTTCAACGGAGGTAAACCGTAATAATAATAAACACACAAGGGCAATACCGTCTACTCAACATTTATTCGGAGTGAAGCCCACAACGGAGTTGTCGAGATCGAAAGCGACGCGTGTTCCCTGCTGCTGCACGTTGCCGATAATGGAGAGCGGCGAGCTCGTCGGCGCGAAGGCGAAGCAGAAAGTGCCCACCGAGTCCACCGGAATCAAGTAGTTAGTTGCCGGAAGCTTTAGTTCTTTCCCGCCTTCGAAACGCAGTGCCACCGTTGGCACCTCAACTGACGTCCTCGACGACAGATCGTAGCAAGTGTCGAACAACGCCACCCCTTCGGCAGCCGGCAGATCGGTCATCCCCTTCGTGAAGGCTTCCCGGAGAGCCGTGTACGCATCGCGCTGAAGCCTCGTCACTGCCGTACCGGAGTCCACGATCACGCCGCCGGTTCCAGCTTCATCCATTGCGAATGCAGAGGATGGAATCGAAAGAGCTTCACCGCCGACGCTGAGGCCGGTGAGACCAACATAGTAGAAAGTATCGACCTTGCTGTTGCGAAGGAGCGGAGCGGTTACTGTGGTGGGATCGGCGGATTTGGCACCGAAATCGAGCGTGGAGGAGCTCGATGAATCGCGGTTGACGAGGCAATAGGAGAAGGAAGGGGATCGGATCTGGGAAGGTAAGGACAGGGCTCCGCCACCGAGGCCAAGAAGGCCCGAGGCCCCGACAAAGAGACCTTCGTTATCGTGGCCGCAGCCGAGAGCAATGGAAGGAACGGGAGGGGAGGAGCCGAAGGTGAGCGAGTCGGTGGCGAATTCACCAACGGTGAAGGATCCGTCACCGTAGGAGACTTGATAGAGACAGGAGGAGTTCCGGCAGGCTGAGACGTCTAGGGATTGGCATAACTGGGAGTCGCACGACAATGGTGCGTAGGTTGAAGATGCCGCCGGGTCGAAAACCGGATCTGTTTGCTGGTAACAGTCGGAACACGGCTGGCACTGGATCCAGGTTACGTCGCTTCCAGTGTCGACCACGAGGTACGCCGGCCTCGGCGGCTGCCCGATACCGAGTTGAGAGAAGTACTCGCCGCTGCCCTGACCCGTACCAGAAACCACAGGTCCGGAAACTTCGCCACCGCCACTTGCAGTAGTTTCAAGCATGTCGTCTGTTATCAGTGGCTTCAGATCAGACCTCTTTATTCCGTGAACGGCGAGTGAAATCCTAGCAGAAATGGATTTGATGCGAGCTGAATCGCGGCGAATGCGGGCGAGGGTAAGGCTCCGGTAATCCTTATGTCCGCCGGCGAGGGCAAGGGGGAGGAAATCTCGAGAATGCAGCTTGAGGGAGAGGTTGGAAGAGTTGGCGACGACCGTGGATTCTTTCATGGTTTGGTCAAGGGCGTGGGTTCGCTGCGAATCGAAGGCCATGACAGCCGCCGTTCTCTGAACGGAAGCAGCGACATCGAGGGCGACGGTATTCCGCCGTGGAAGGACACGTGAGGAGGCGTAGAGGGGAAAGAGCGCGGTGGAGAGGAAGAAAAGGAGAAGTTTAGAGGAGAGGCGGTTAGATGATTCCGGCATATTGCGAGATGGGTGGAGTGGTGGGAGGGTTGAGGCAGTTCGGCTTTTTAAGAGGCGAGAGTGGAAGAGACACAGAGAGAGGCGGAAGAGAAGGGAGGTTTAGGGAATGTGAGCGGATTTAATGGAGGGAGTCACGTCACTGACCCCTAGTCGTCCAACAAAAAGAAAGCATTAAACGAGGAAAGAGCTTTTGACCTACTGATGCATTCTCGCTGAAAATAAAAAGATGCTGCATCAGGTAAATTAAGTGAGAATAAGAAATTCTCACCTCCTGCTAAGAAGAATTATTTGGACATTTGGGATTTTCATGGCGCGAGCCGCGTAGCATTATAAGTGAATTTCATCCGACGCTCTCAGCAAAGGCAAATCTATAAAAAAGAGCACTTTTCAATTTAATTAAGAGTAAGAAACAGATATCTCAGATAATTTAAAAGATTTTTTACATAGCTAATAATCAAAACTATTATAATTATATATTTAACACCTAAATTATACTATTTAATTTTCTAGCATCTAAAAATCTTTTCCCTCATCTAAAGTACCATTCTGGAAACCCTCGTCAAAATCACATCCTGATCGCAAATTCAGGAAAGTTCTTTCTTCGCATCGCATCTTCGCTTGACAAATGATATTTGCATCGCCACTTTGTCTTCTCCATTTCTTCATATAGGTTGTTGCTCTTCTTCTCCATTTGTTCGTCTAGATTTGCTGTTCGTGGACTCCATTTCTTTGAACGACAATATGATTGTCCCGACACCATATATTTTAGGCAAATAAGACAATGAGAGCTTATATAAAGAAGGGTTGTTAATCAAGTGATAAAACTATGCAAGATGGCACGTGATAATTGTTGGATTAAAAAAATAATATTTTGTTTTAGGTTGATATTCTTAGTGTACAAAAATAATGTGTACAATCAACATTCAGCTTCACCCCCTTTATTTCTTGTAAACAAATAGTTGTATCACACGTGTAATGTCCTACTCAGGACTCTATTTATAGGAAACTATGTAAATTGTGCAAGACAAGAAAATACGATTAATTACTTTCTTCTTACTGTTATCTTCTTCAATGAGTTCTTGCAACTCAACTCTCGGTTAAGAGTTTCTACATGGTATCAAGAGTCTTCTGGTTCTCAAGACCTGGCCATGGCATCTCAATCCGCCGCGTCATCGTCTACTGCCGCTACTACGGTCAGCGCATTGTCGACTCCGGCAATCTCCCCATCTCTCAAGTTCGTTATATCTAACCTGAAATTTCTTGTTCCCCACGCGTTAAGCCCGGAAAACTTTCTCATTTGGAGTACACAGATTGCCAAGCTTTTCAAAGCAAATGGTTTCGCCGCATTCCTAGAACCCAAATCCGAGTCCGAAAATGCAGATCCAAATCTTGATCCTCAAATCTGGTCTATCACGGATCAGAATCTTGCGACTGCAATGTGCTCTACTATCGCTCCTTCTGTTCTACCTTATGTGATTCATCTTGAATCCACACACGACATTTGGTCTACGCTTCATACTCGGTTCCAATCCTCTAACCGTTCTAAAGTAATACAGCTCAAGAACGAGCTTCATAACATCTCGATGCAAAACCTCACCATGACTCAGTATCTTATTGAGATCAAGAAAATAGTAGATCAAATTGCCTCTGCGGGTTTTTCGGTAGATCCTGAAGTAGATCCTGAAGACATCATCATCTACATTCTCAACGGGCTACCTCCCGAATATCAGTCCTTCACCACCTCAATTCGCACACTGCAGACTTCACTTTCTCTCGACATCTTGTATTCTCTTCTTATCAGCGAAGAAATACATCTTAAAGCTGCTGCCGCCAAATTTCCCAGGTTGCCCGAAAATCAGGCTGCTTTGTACGCATCTAGAGGTCGCGGTCGTCGTGGTCGGATTCGAAATAATTCCGATACCAATTCTTTCAACCGTCCATCTCAATCCTCTACTATCTTCTGCCAAATATGCAAGAAGAAAGGACATCAAGCTGATGCGTGTTGGCATCGGCTCAACATCAATTACAAGCCAAATCAACAATCAAACAAGAACTCGAATGCGCTTCTAGCCAGTACCGAGAACAGCTCATCTACCGACTGATATATCAACTCGGGAGCCTCAGCTCATATGACGAATACTTTGGAAAATTTGTCCAATTCTACTACCTACAACGAACCTGATTCGGTAACAATCGGGGACGGAAGGTCGGTTCCTATTTCCCATACAGGCACTGGTATCCTTCCCACCCCCGATAGTAAGCTTCTTCTCTCTAAACTTTTACACATTCCTTCTTTATCATATAATCTGTTGTCCATTTCTAAGCTTGTTAAAGATAATAACTTAGCCATTATATTTGATCAAAATGGGTTTGTTTTCAAGGACCGGCAGAGCAACCGAACTATTCTTACAGGTCCATGTAAGGATGGGTTATACAAGCTTGCTTCCCCTCGATCAGCTCAGCCCACGGGTCTCTCGGCCACCAGACAATCTGTCATCAACTGGCATCAGCGTTTGGGACATCCTAACCATCGCATTATCCAGCAGATTGCAAATCTTAATCCATCTCTCTGTATCTCTTCTTATTCAAATATGTGTAAATCTTGTGCTTCTTGTAAAGGCCAGAAATTAGTCTTTGATAATTCCACTAGCTGTACTACTGCTCCGTTAGAACTAATTCACTCCGATGTTTGGGGACCGGCTCTTGTTCCCTCTCATCAGGGGTTTCGCTATTATGTAATTTTCATTGATGATTACTCCAGGTTTTCTTGGTTATTTCTGCTTATTTCTAAAACTGAAGTTACAAACATTTTTATACAATTTGTGTCTTTTATTGAACGTCAAACGAACTGCAAGCTCAAGACCATTCGGACTGATGGCGGCGACGAGTTCGTCAATCACAAATTTCAAGCATTTACTAGGAACATTGGCATCTGTCATCAGACAGCTTGTCCCTATACCCCTGAACAAAATGGGGTCTCCGAAAGAAAGCACATTCACGTTATTTCGACCGCTCGCACACTTCTTCACAACGCAGGGATGCCTATGGACTACTGGGTTGATGCAGTTTACACAGCGATCTACCTCATTAATCTTCTTCCCTCTAAGACGATCAACAATTCTACTCCTCTATACAGAATGTTTCACACCACACCGTCGTACGATCATCTTCGTCCGTTTGGTTGTTTGTGTTACCCTCTGATTCCTAGAACGCATCGTAACAAACTAAACCGAACCTCATCAGAATGCGTTCTTCTTGGCTATTCCGATGTTATGAAAGGCAATAAATGTCAAAATTTAGTGAACTACAAAGTTATTTACTCCCATCATGTACAATTTAATGAAACTGTTTTTCCTTTCATTAACAGGAAACCGGCTCAACCGTCTCCTACTATGCCTCTGCCACCATCACTACTAACCCCTGCTTCTGTTCAGCAACACAACTCCTCATCAGGCTCTGTGCGTAATACTACTCCTACGGCTCCAAATACTACCGTCGCTACCTCGCCTTCCGCACCTTCCTCTGCTCCACTTGATGCAAATATTCCAGCCTCTGCTAGACTCGATCCAAATATACCGTCTGTTCCTTATCCAAAACATCCAATGACCACTAGGCGCCAAACTGGTTCACTGAAACCAGTTCAAAAACTGAATATCCTACATAAAGAACAATCTAGTTTAGATCCTACCTCTTACTCCGAAGCTAGCAAAAAGTTTGAATGGCGTCGTGCTATGGCCGAAGAGTTTTTTGCTCTTCAAAAACAAGGAACCTGGGAACTAGTTCTTCCTCCATCAAAGTGCTCTGTTCTTGGATTAAAATGGACCTATCGCACTAAGTATAATTCTAACGGCTCGGTTGCTCGGTTTAAAGCTAGATTGGTGGCACTCGGCAACCAACAGGAACACGGCTTAGACTACAGTGACACGTTCAGTCCAGTCGCCAAGCTTCCCACTATTCGTATCTTGTTCACAATCGCGTTGTTCCATAGCTGGCAAATTCTGCAATTGGACGTTACCAATGCATTTTTGCACGGTGATATCAACGAGGTCGTCTACATGAAACAGCCAAAAGGTTTCGAGGATTCCACAAATCCTAATCATGTGTGCCGTCTACGAAAAGCCATCTACGGTCTCCGTCAAGCTCCTCGTCAGTGGTATACAACGTTTACCTTGTATCTTCTACAGCTAGGGTTCTAGCATAGTCAGGCCGATCCCTCACTTCTTCTTCTTCATCGGGATAAACTGCAACTATATCTGCTTGTCTACGTGGATGACATCCTTCTCACTGGCAACGATCCAACAGCTTGTCCAACAGTTACAGCTTAGATTCACCATGAAAAATCTTGGTTCGCCAACTCACTTCCTGGGCATTAAGATCGATAAAACTCCTGATAAGTATTTTCTTTCTCAAGCCTTTTATGCTAATTCTATCGTCGAACTAGCTGAGTTGCAAAATTGCAACTCAGTCGCTAATCCCTGTGTTACAAAACTCACAGGTAATATATCTGAGTCCTCTCCTTGTTTCTCTCCGGCAGTCTATCGCCAACTGATCGGGTCCTTGCAATATTTGACTCTAACGCGACCAGACATTACATACGCTGTCAATGCCTTGTCACAGCATATGCACGATCCCGCCTCATCTCATACCTCCTTACTGAAAAAGCTTATTCGGTACATCAAAGGAACCACTGAATTCGGTCTTCCTATAACCAAAACTACTCTTCTGCTCAAGACGTATTCTGATGCGGACTGGGCATCGGATCCTGTCACCCGTAAATCGACGTCCGGTTTCTGCACGTTTTTGGGCGACACTCTCGTCTCCTGGACCGTGAAAAAGCAATCTACTGTGTCACGATCGTCCACTGAATCGGAGTATCGCGCATTAGCTACAGCAACGGCGGACACCATTTGGATCAGAAAGCTGCTCGCCGATTTTCGCGTGGATCATAACTCACCGGTTGACATGTTTTGTGACAATACCTCAACTATCGCATTGGCCAACAATCCCGTTATTCATGCTCGTACCAAGCACATTGAAATTGATCAAAGGTTTGTTCGGGAGCACATTCAAAACAGAGTAATTCGGTTACTACCCATCAGCACGATCGATCAACTAGCAGATATTCTTACCAAGCCTTTGTCCACTCCTCGATTCAAGTTACTTAGATCCAAACTGACAATCTCATCCAATTCTCAGTTTGAGGGGGGATGTTAGTGTACTTAAATAATGTGTACAGTCAGCATTCAGCTTCACCCCCTTTATTTCTTGTAAACAAATAGTTGTATCACACGTGTAATGTCCTACTCAGGACTCTATTTATAGGAAACTATGTAAACTGTGCAAGACAAGAAAATACAATTAATTACTTTCTTCTTACTGTTCATCTTCTTCAATGAGTTCTTGCAACTCAACTCTCGGTTAAGAGTTTCTACAGATATTACATTCATGTAGCTCGTAACTATGAGAAATGGGAACTAAGCTATATAGACCAGCTCATATCTCCCAGCATGTGGGACGATGACCTCCATCAAACCTCTCATTTGAAAGCAAATATTTGAATCCATCGCAACAACTCGTATTTCTTTGCGGCATAAGCTTAGAGTTGATCTATAGAGAAAGAAACTTAGAAGATGAAAACCAATCCTAATGAAGAGGGCGTGGTAGACGTGATTACCTGTTCAAACTCGAATGATTGGCTCTCTTCTAATCTCTAGAGCGGAGAGGGAGAGTGATGAGGCGTGAAATGAGGCATGAAAGGTAGGTTCGAGGTAGGGTTTTGACAGGAGTTAACAGAGTGATAATTTAGATGAAGGGAATAGTATTTATATTAGGTGGTAAGTATGTAAATAATGTAGTTTGGAGGTTAGGTGTGTAATTATAGTAGTTTTGGGAGTTAAGTAAGTAATATGAAAAATGAATTTATGTATTAAGGGAATACATGAAATGTTTTTTTGGTTTCTTAGAATATGTAAAAATATTTTCCACATTCAATAGAATGATAGAATGCGAAAAACTATTTTCTGGTTTTCCTTTGTTCCAAATTTTCGATATCCTCATTTGCCCTCGCATTCCGCCCAATGGTTCGTCGTGCTCCTTGTGATTCCGCCCGCCTCTGCCAATTAACAAAATAATGGAGGATATGTAAGCTCCCAAACAATATAAATGTTGTGCACACCCGGCACGGCAACAATATACAAAAAGTTACGTGGTAAAAATTGAACCAATCAAAAGATACCGACGAAAATCGCTAACGGAAACAAAATCCGGACATAAAATACTGCCAAACACGATGGTTCTGAAAATTGAGAAAGGCGGAATGTGCCTTACCTTGCGTACAGCAATATCCTGAACAGTCTTGTCGAACGAAAACAGCTCCGCGTCGTCCGAAAATCAACTTTTCCAAAATTCTTTTCGACTTTCCCTCTCCTCGAAAAATCAGATATTTTGTTTTTGATTTTCTCTCTCTTCAAAACGACTTATTTCAGCTTTATAAAACTCAGATTGGAGCTACTCCAGGCGGCGCAATGGCAGCGGCAGAGGCGGAGCAGTAGTAGGCGGTAGTGGCGGAGCAGCAGCAGGCAGCAGCGGTGTAGCAGCATCACGCGTTCGGGACGCACAGCGCATGCGAAGCTACTCGACGCTTCTGGACGCTTGTGACTTGATGCCTCGGGACGTGACTCAACACTTCGGGCAGCAGCGGTATCACGCGAACTTGAGGTTTGAGCGGGCAACAGACGCGGGCAGAGGGTTTTCAAGTCATTTTCGGGTTTATGGGTCAACTCGAACCCAACCCATTTTTTTAAACGAGTCAGTTTGTTGAACCCGAACCCGACCCGTTTCGCAAACGAGTAGACCCGAACCCGGATTTTTCTGGGTCAGGTCCATGTCGGGTTTCAAGTCGTGTCAAAAATTGACACCCCTACAACCAACAACCTAAATTGACACCCCTAGATTTGGTAACAAAAAGTCATTGGAATAGATGTATTAGATCTAGCCTATATTAAGAAGGATAGAAATAAACTTAAAAATTTTAATTAGAGAGTATTAGAATAACTTTTTTATAAGAGTAAAATTGAAAATTAACTATTACTAGGAGATAATAGCAAAAGAAAATTTATGTTGCTGACCCCACATAGTTGGATTAAAATTTGATGTTGTTGTTTGTTTTTGTTGTGCTCTCAACAAAAAGAATAACACCCAATTTTATCTTATATTTTAGTTTTGGAGAACGATTTTAATTTAAATAAAAAAAGTTATTCGTGTTTTTTATTTTCCTATTTAAAATTAAATTAAGGTTTTTTAATTATTCATTGAAAAAACACTAAAATATAGACATATCATTTATTTAAAAAATTTGTAATGTATTTGAAATTTTAAATAATTCATAATTTTATATTAAAGATTATGATGAACATATTAAAATAGTATAACAATAACTGATACATTATCAAAAATTGTCTTGATCGAGCACGAATCTCGAGGCATATTCAAGTAAAAACTTTCAAAATTAAATTTGGAACCATCCAAACTCAGATTGCAACAAATTCAGTCAAATTAAACATCTTAATGAGATGAATCAAATGACACCAAATTGATCCAATTCGAGCCAAAATGGGTCCAAATCAAGTAACTAAAGCATACCTAGAATATTCAAAGCATTAATTGGATGACAAATTGATTTCTAAATATAACATGCTTATATTCGAATCGAATGACTCGACGAGACGAATCCAATGAGCCCAAGATTGATTAATTCTAACATCATTAAGACACTTAAATGCTTGATGAACACTCCATGATCAAAGGATGAATTAATATTGGTTCAACCCTGCGATGGATATTCTCCTTATTTATAAGGTGCATCAGTCACAAAAATTTATAAATAGATCCTTACTCTCTACATGAGGGGCAATTTTTTGATCGGAGATTGGAGATAGCTCTGAGGCTTTAAGAATCCTAAAATTCTACCCATGCACCACTGCCGACGAACTTCCGTTGACCATCGCCTGATAGCCGACCATCTCTGGTCTGTGGTCTACTGCCAGACGACCGACTGTGTGTCGACTATCGTTGGACCACCTCCTGTCCGCCAATCATCTAAGGACCTCTCCCCGTTACTAGACATCCGCCCGTCTACCATCAACTACAGTCTCTCGGACCTCTGTCGCCCGTCGAATATGATTCTTTTTACCTACGTACATTGCCCGCCGATTACAGTCCCTCTAACCACCATCAACCGCTGACTATCGTCGTCCCTTCAACCTCCATAGCCTACCGACTATGATCCCTCCAGCCTCCTTCGGGTACCTGACTACGATCCCTCTGTCCTCCATCACTCGACTATGTTTCTGTTGACCAAATGAATGAGCTAATATTTCCTTGAGAACAACTCTCATTCTCCAAGCATATAATGTATATTTGTTATACTCAGCCAATGCCTTCCTACAAGGAAGTGACTTATTTATAATCGACTACAAATACTAGTGGGTTCATTCCAATTGGACAATGCTCCGTGGTTTTTTCCCTTACATAAATTTTCATGTAAAAAGTTATGGTGTCTCGTAATATTATTTCACCAATCTTTGTTATGTGTAAATGTGTTGGATCTTCGCGTAAAACTTGGACGCTAAATTCTATATCTCTCTAGTGTCGTGATTGTTTTGAGACGCAATAATAATATATAATTGTGGTGGTATAAACATATTAATTAATTATTAATTTAATTTTATTTAATAAAAAATAGAATGAATATTTTTTTTGGGAAATATTAATGAATATTTTACTTGACTTAATTCTTCATCTATGTTATATTTAATGATTGGCTGAGGAGAACAAAACATGAAATATTATAATTTATTGAATTTTATTTTGCCTCATATTTAAGAGCATATGATTAGAATCAAAACACTCAATCATTTAGAATACGTTTAGAAAAATAAAATTTGTATATTTTACCTCATATTTAAATCCTGTATATATAATGTGTTTATGAATTGGATTTAATTTTTTTTTTTGGGGGAAATGAATTGGATTTAATTTATCTAAATGTCTAAAATAATAATAATAATAATCACTGTAGGTTGGCGTAGCTTAGTATGCATACTATTCATGATTTTCTGAGACGACGGTAACGTCACAGGAGGTGATTTGACTTTGTAATTTATTTTATTTATATCTTAAATTGATAAAAAAATTGGTTAGATACCTTCTGCCTTCTGGCCCCAATCCTTCGAAATTCGAAAAAATTATCAACATCAAGGAAAATATTTTACTTTTTTTACTAGTTAGCGATAGTGTAAATATTAATAAAATTAATATTAATCAGTGTGATCGCTTCCTACAGAAGATTGGAACAATGGTTGCACTAATCAAGATGTTTTATATTCCTTAAGACTGATGACGTACTGACACAAATAACATCAGTTCTTTTTTATTTCGTTCGATTGTATTATTTTTATATTTTTTTATTTAAAAAAATTTATAATAAAAAGTTATTTTTATGATTTAAATACTTAAGTAGCTTTTTCTGTTCTAGCTTCACAAATAACTTAATAAAAAATTACAGTTGTTTCAAATAGATCTTAAGAGATATTTTTAGAACACGGGTGAATTCTTTATGTATTTATACGAATGATAGCTATTTTTGGATATTAAATTTATATTTATATTGGGTAACAATTTGTGCAGCTAAATTTTGAAAAATAATAGATCAAGCTGTGGCACATTGGTTGAGGGCATCTCCAACGGAGAACTCTATTTTTCACGGCAAAATACAACAAAACTTCAAAATGCCCTGGTGCTGCTCCAATGGAACTTCATTTTAAGTGCTTCTGCAAAGGTAACTATCTTTCTCCCTTTCGCGCGTTTTTCCGGTTGAGAGAGCAAAATAGCGTGGGTGAACAGTGCGACGCCAATATTGGCGTCGCACTGTCCACCCGCAAGTAAATGGCGGAAGATTTGGCGTTCGGCTGGAGCAACCGAATGACGCCATACGCAGATTTGGCGTTCGGTTGAAGACGCTCTGACAAAACAATTTTTTCCCCATTTATCAGCGCTCGAATATCCTAATCCCCCTCACAAAAAAAAAATGATTTTAAGAAATTTTTTTATGAAAGTAGAAGTTTTTTGTTTTTAATATTTTTTTTAAGGAGCTCAGAAACTATTTTTTGTAGTCATCTTGCCTTCATAAAAGAAATTGTTGGTTCTATGGCATT